GGTATTTGAAGCGATGGTTTACGGTTCCATCCGGCTCTCGAAGGGTTTCTGATGAGGCAACACGGAATGGGTGAAGACATTCTCGCTTCCATGCTTCAAAAGCTTCATCGAATTCTGCATAGCTTGAAAAGAGGGAAGATTATTGAGTATTGGGAGAAACCACAAAAATAAAATTTGTAAGGATGTCGGAAAAAATGAAAGTAAGGTTAGAAGCATGTTCGAAAGATTGCGAAGAAAAAATCCATACAGGGATGATTTAACTTTGTGGGAATATATTCACAATCATCTTGTTGTTATAATGCCTCCTAGCGCACCTCGTTCCTTTTTGTATATTAAGGTCTTAACTTAAAAGTGAATTTTTCACAAAATTCTAATTAGATTTTGAGATCTAAAAGTATTTTTTAGAAGACTAACGAAAAACTAAACTTCAACTCTGGATTTTCAAATGCCCCAGATTGTAAAACTTAAAAACAAAGCTTCTTTCATTCCTCAAAGACTTCATAACGTCCCATATTGTTCCCTACCTTACCGTACCTATTTATTTATTTTTAGAATAAACAAACCTCGAAAATCGTGCGTCATGAGCGATCACTGGATGACTGCTACTTTGAACAGCTGCCGGAACATTCGGATAGATCGGCTTAGGAGCAAGAGGCACTACTACAGTATCTGCCGTTGGCGCAGTCACAGGTTGGTAAGTAGGTTGAGGTGCAGCTGCAGTGAAAGTTGTTGGTAGTTCTGTTCCAGGTCCAACATTAGCCAAAACTTCAGACGCTTGGGCTAAGGCATTGGATAAGGCCGATGAATCGCTCTTTGGGGAGACTGCAAGAAAGAATAGTGTTAAAGAGGAACAAAGAGAGGATAAGGAAAAAAATCCTCACTAGGCTTCAGATCTGTAAAAGTTGGCACTGGAGCATGGACTGAGTTTGCTGCATTTTCAGGAGAAGAATGTGAAGGTGTGCTGGTGGAAGCAACTGAAGCTGTTGACGAATGTGGAATATCCTAAAAACATTTATTTGTCCACCTATAATTCGAAAAAATGCTTTTGTTTATTTACAAAGTTACTCCCAGGCAATCGCCCTCGATCGGCTTGATCAAAAGGAAAACTAAAGATATTGGATAACAACAGGTCAGGCCAGACGG